TTTCTCTATTTCTCTCTTCTTCTTCTCTCTCTCGTCGTCACTGAGTAGATCGGAAAATGGAGCCATGGATTGACGATTTAGCCGACGATTTACAAAGCATAAGTTTCACATCAGCCGGAACCACCGTGAATCGAAGCACAAGCTCCGGTTCTCGTTCCTCCTCCTCCGCCGCAGCACTAACACCAGCACCATCAGCTCACGGTTCATTCTCATCCTCGAAACTCCCTCCTTCACTCCGATCATCTCTCTCACTCGCCGATCTCAGATTCCGTCTCCGTCTCGGTTCCGGAGACATCGGCTCTGTTTTCTTAGCCGAATTCAAATCCCTAACCGCCGTAACCGTAACGGAAACCGCCGCCGTTAAATTACCTCTGTTAGCAGCGAAGGTTATGGATAAAAAAGAGCTCGCGAGCCGGAGCAAAGAAGGAAGAGCGAAGACGGAGAGAGAGATACTCGAATCTTTAGATCATCCGTTTCTTCCGACGCTTTACGCCGCCATTGATTCTCCGAAATGGCTCTGTTTGTTGACGGAGTTTTGTCCCGGCGGTGACCTTCATGTTCTCCGTCAGAAACAAACTTATAAACGTTTCCATGAATCCGCCGTCAGGTAACAGTTTCCGTTAAGTTATTAAAAAAAAATATTCAGTTTCTAAAAATATAATTCAAAATAAAAATCTTTGGGAAGTAATAATTACGAAAGAAGTGAATAATATTTTTTAAAAAGCTGATGAAATCAGGGGGAAGTGGGACTCGTCCAGCTGGCGAATTGTCTCGTAGTTTAACACTTAACTGAATTTATGGTTCCGTTAATTAATCACTAATTTATAACCTTTTTAAACGGTAATTATATCGTAATTATTAGATATATAAAGTGAAATAAATCACATAGACAAGATTTAATTTCCGTAATTTCTTCAGTAATTTTTGGCAGTTTTCAATACTTAATTATTCATAATGACTTTTGTTTGTTGTTGGAATTATGTTTTTTTTTTTTATAGGTTAGACTAGAAAAGTCTATTTAGACCACACAAAAAGGGAACTAGAAAGTGTATTTTTAAAAATTAGAAGTAAAAAAAAAACTATAGAGATAAAGTGGTTATTTATATATAATATATAGTTTTTTTAAACTGCAATTATAGACTAACTATATATCATAGGCCCGTTAAGTTTGTTACTTGTAATAATTATCTTTGTGAAAATCACACTCAACCTAAGGTTTTATTTTCCTTAATTTCGTCATAATTATATAACATAAGTGGGTAAAGATTTATAATATATAGTTTTTAAAAAAGGCAATTATAGACTAATTATATAACTTAGACTCGTTAAGTTTGTTACTTGTAATAATTATCTTTAGTGAAAATCACACTCAATCTGAAGTTTAATTTTCCGTAATTTCGTCATAATTATATGCTTTTTCACGAATGTTTTAACGTATAGATTTGTTATTAGAATATGGATTATTGATTTGATTTGATGTGCTCGATAATGGCTTTTTTGAATAAACTAGGAAAAGTCTATATACTCCACACAAAAAAGGGACTAGAAAAGTGTATTTTTTATTTAACCCATAGAGTGGCTATTTTTGTTTATAATATATAGTTTTTATTTTTATTTTTATTTTGTTATGTAAGCAGATGTACGCACGATTAACAAAAGTGTGTGTCTGTGTGCATCTTACTTACATGTGTGCGTGTATCGTAGGGTATCATAATTTAGTAGTAGTTATAATCTGGTGCGATGATGAAAAATAAAAAAGTCAATTCTAGTGGGGTTTGACTTTGATCTCGTAACGAATCAGTTAAAGACACGTGTAAGTTTTGTAGTGGAACCAGGTGATTGAATTAAATCACGTAGCATGCATTACCATGGAAGGAAAAAAAAAAATATTTTTCTTTTTTTGTTTTTTTTTTTTTTTGGGCATGTGGTTACAACACAAGCACATCACATTCACAGCTATTAAAAATTTTAAAACCATTGGTTATTTTATGAATTTTTTTTTTTTTTTGTCAAATGATCTTAATGAGTTTGGTCCTACAATTTAAGAGTTAAAATTATGAAATTTATATTGAAAAGTAGTTGTGGCTTTAGAATGGTAACGATAGTGTAGTTTTGGTTTGGTAGTAGATGAAAGTTATATCATTTAGTTAGTTGAGGTTAACCATTTATGTTCCAATTTTTGTATCACGTGATTAATTACTAGAAAACCGGATCTTGTTCTTCTTCTTCTTGGTGTATGTTATTAGATCTGATTTGTTTTTTGTGTCCTTAAGTTATCTGTCAGATTTTGACTAGTGTAGTAGTTTACACGTTAACCATTCTACAAGTTAACTACAAACTAAGTTCTTATGTTAATGAGTTCTACAAGGATTGAGAAATTGGGACCAGAAACTAAGTTCTTATCGTTTTTTTTTAAGGTTGTCCTACTAAAAAACCAAGGTCCCAGCTGCATTTTTACATTAGAAGCTTTGCTCAATTAGGTTCTGGTTTTACTTTAAGTGATACAGAGAACAATGGCTCTATGGAAATGGATATATGAACCGGACAAGTTTATCTTTTGTGTGAACTTGTTCTTAGAATACAGTTTCCTTTACTCTGTTTTGTGTGGAGTGTGTTTGTTGATTGTGGACCAGTGGAGACAAAAAGGGTCGGGTAGAGGAATCTTGGGTAATGTCTTAGCACCAGAAACTCACTATTTTAGACAAAAGAGTTCGTTAAGCCAAACCAACCTTGTAGGTCCATTTTTGTTCCTTGTGTATAGTGACATCAAACCCAAAACATCATCTTCTTGTCTCCAAATCCAACAAATGCTGTTTTGTCACAATACCTAAAAATCGTAACCAAAAAATTCTGGTTTTTAAAATTATTGCAAATCTCTATTATTCGTTTTGTCCTCACTACCATGTTTTCTTTCTCTTTGTCTCTTCTTTTTTCCACATTACTAATCATCATCATCATCTCTTTACTGTATTTTTTCAGATTCTATGTATCGGAAGTGATTGTAGCTATTGAGTATCTTCACATGTTGGGGATTGTTTACCGCGATTTAAAGCCAGAGAACGTTCTGGTTCGATCAGATGGTCATATCATGTTAACCGATTTTGATCTCTCTTTAAAATGTGACGAATCGACTTCTACGCCACAGATAGTACTGAACCGGAACAACCCTCCTAACGGCTCGTCTGATCAGAACGAGAACCAAGGCATGGACCATCATCAAACCACATCATCCTCTTGCATGATTCCTAACTGTATCGTCCCTGCTGTCTCTTGCTTTCACCCGAGAATCCGAAGGCGAAAGAAGAAAACTGATCACCGTAACAACGGTCCTGAGCTTGTGGCCGAGCCAGTGGATGTTCGGTCCATGTCCTTTGTTGGAACGCATGAGTACTTGGCTCCAGAGATTGTTTCAGGTATTCTTTAAATCTACATCATTCTCAACTCCTCTGTTTTATTAATGTAACTTAACGATATGAAATCTTAACATTGAAATGTAAAATGTGGATGGCAGGAGAAGGGCATGGGAGTGCAGTGGACTGGTGGACACTAGGGATATTCATGTTCGAGCTATTCTACGGAACAACACCGTTCAAAGGGATGGACCACGAGCTAACCCTTGCAAACATCGTGGCTCGAGCTCTCGAATTCCCAAAAGAGCCAACGATTCCAAGCGCGGCCAAGGATCTGATCTCTCAGCTACTAGCCAAGGACCCGAGCCGACGGTTAGGGTCGTCTCTAGGTGCAACAGCCGTGAAACGCCACCCATTTTTCCAAGGAGTGAATTGGGCGTTGCTCATGTGTACTCGTCCTCCTTTTCTTCCTCCGCCTTTTCGCAAAGACCTTTTGTCAGATGACATTTGTCCTGAAACCCATGTAGACTATTATTAATTATCTTAATTAGCACTACGTAATTAATTAATTTTCTTCGGATATAATTATTTCCAAGAAACAACATCTTCGTAATATAATTAGCACTAGTATAGTTTCATTTTATGATATAAAAAAAAAAACTTATCACAAATGCATTTAAGAAATGTGTAATACAGTTACATTTCATGAAACAAAAACTTAGTACAAATGCTTTTATATGTTTTTCTTTGTTTGTCAACTTAAAGAAGTTTAGATATTATTCATAATAATTCTGACACACAAATAGAAACCAAGACATGTAACACGTTATTTGTGCTATCCATTTAATTATAAGTTTATAACCAATAAAATTTTTATTGTTGGAAAAAAAAATTGATACCAAAACAAGAAATTTTAAAAGTTTTCCGAAATTATTACTCTCTCTGTTTCATTGTTTTATATATAAGATACTTGTTCGAAAAAATATTTTTGGCTTAATTTTTATAAAACTCTTAGACCAAAATTCATATTTCCATATTATTTTATGACCATATTAATTCTAATTCTTTAATATTTGTATGATTGGTTGAATTAATTTTCACTATATATTAAAATAGTAAATTCTAAACTTGGCGACAAAAAAACAATCATACACCTAAATATGCATTTCAGTCATTTATTGTTTACTGAGATTTTGGTACAACTAACTAAATGAGTTCCACATTTATGGATCATCACAATTCACAACATAAAGAAAATTATTGATGTCTTTTTGAATACTACTGCCATTTTTTTTTGAATTTAAAACAAGCAAAAAAAATTTAAAATTTATTTTCCAATAGATGTGGAAAGATAAATGACGTAATTGAATGAAGAAGACCCACGTGCCTCATTGATGACATATATAGAAGTTCACGTGCATGGCTTTATTGTAATTGTACTTTTGGCTTATCCTAAAACTTTACAAACCAATCATTGATTCTTTCACCAAGTTCGACCGTCGTCATGGGTAGGCCTTAGATAAGTGTAGTCATGGGATTGGGTTCTTCTCTAATGAGTTCATTCATAATCATATAGTAGCTGCCTCGGTTTCGGACAAGTCTAGAAGAAAAATAATGTATATTAAATAAACATTTTTGTAAAGCAAACACATAATTTTACTTATCAATTTTTCGATCTAAAAACTCATATATATTTTAGCTTTAAATGTTAACAATAGAATATATGTTAACATAGATCGATGTTAATTAAATACCACGAAATTATCTACATGTTGTGCTCTTTGTTAAGTGTCACCAAGAACTTGAGGCTAATAATGTTCTAGTAGTTCTCTTATGCACCTAACCTTGCTTTTTGTTTACGTACCTAGAACATCGATGATGTTTTCCTTAGGGTCATGTTTCACCTTTCTTTAAAAGGGTCGGACCCAAATAACTGAGTAAATCCAACTGAAAAGCTAGAAGGAAGAGTCACATCGATATTAGGATATACTTGAAATATTGAGATGTGGTATGATTCTATCACATAAAGAAAATTTATTATGTATGAATACTCACTTTATGTTAATGAATAAACCAAACTTTTCTAAATGATATCAATTATCAAAGTTCTTTGAATTTTCGGAAATTTGCCTAGACATACTAGCATTTATCTCTATAAAGATTCGAAGCAATGAATCAATAAAAAGGATTCGCAATTTCCGTTAAATCATAATACACATCTAACTCGTCTAAAAGCAGTTAATTTGGAGTCTTTACAGTTCATCAAATAGTTTATTCGATGAACTGTAAGCTCGTCTAATCCACTTTCTGCTCGACTTTGGCCATTTGTAGTAGTTTTAGCAAGCTCGACTTTGGAAATTTTAATTTCGTAACACAATTTTGTAGTTTGCCAAATCTCGATTCATCAGAATATGTTTCCTTTTTTTTCCGAAGAAACCACAACTTACTTATTAGATGTCAAACAGAAAGTTAGATATATGGTCGAGTCTTTGCTTCCAAAATTTAAAATTTGTTGAAAACAAATAATTTATATTTTAACCTTCATAATTCGCTTGGTTCTCCATTAACGTAGACATGGCCAAATATATTAAAACAAAACTTTGAAGAAAAATCAATATAATTTTTTTTCTTTTTCTAAATGATAGTTTAGTTAAAAGTCAATACTTACAACATGATCGGTCGGTTCCATAAACACGTAGCAAACATGGAAACAGAAACAAACAAAAGGGGAACTATATATAAGCTGGATTTATCACATTAACACTTTTTCTTTTGTATCTACATTACATTTATGAGATTCCAATTCAACATTTTTCCGAGTAAAATTGTTTGGGTGTAGATTTCGATTTCAGAATTTTCTATAAAAAATGCTTTACACAATGGAACCAATAATTATGTAGGTAACGTTTTAATTGTTTCATATATATGTATGTAGGGAGCAATACACGTACTCTTTTGTTAAATCAATGAATAGAAAGAATCTGGTCTCTTGTCTTTGTATATGAGAAGAACTCATCAAATAGAGTTTCTCATTGCTCTAATAATTAATAGTGGAATTAATATAATAATTATTTATAGAGAAGTCTATTTAAGTTTCCTCAAAGAGGTTTACGGGTTTTGTCCGAATCTTCATGTAAATGTCCTACTTCCCCGTGATATGTTTGGTAGGGGAGGGAGGCTAATTATGGATTGAGTATTATGTATATTTCATAAAAATACATCCATTTACAAAAGCTTTCTGTAGATGATGCATATACATATGGCAGCCTCCGAACACTAATTTGATGTTTTCTGAGGACTCTCAAATGTTTAAAGTAGTGAAGATGAATATTATATAGACTAGGTTAATCAGAATTGACATATCGCGGATAAACTATTATATAATAATTATTTTAAAGTAATTCTCATCAATAATATCAATTTAATTTTTTAGTTCAAAATTAGCACACACTTTCAAATATTTTAAAATTAGCACACATTTATATATCATTAAAACAATGTTAAAACCGTGAGAATTGGAGAGTTGGGGTTCTACTACCGAGGGAGAACACATTGAGAAAAAATTAGAGAAATGTGAATTAGGAAAGAGGTGTTCCATTTATTTTGTAAATTTTTAAAAATATTTAATATTTTATTTTACTATTAGTTATTTCTCACAATATTTTTTTATATAGTGGGAGAATATGCAATATTTTATTTAAAAAAAGAATTGTAATGATTCACCAAATAAAACAAAGATTTCAACGTTTAATTAAATAAAATAAAAATTGCAATGGTTTTTTTATCAAATAATTAAATGGTAGCAACAATTCACTTAAATTTTTGTAATTAAATATTAAAAATATAATTTAGGAAGAGGTGTTTTTGATACGGTAGCTTCTTCTGTAGCAAAGGCTACAACCTATGGAAGTCTAAGTAAATGCCCTTTTGGTTGATAAATGGACCTATCCAGACTACTCCATATTACGTCGTTTCCTTTTGATAACATGCATATAATCTAATCCCATGAGCAGATTAATGTCATTAGTCACTGAAAAACGGATCAGTACTTAATAGTTATGAGACCAACTCGCTACAATTGTTTGAAAAGTGTGAAGTTGTATTAAGTAGAAATAAAGCAAAAATTGAAAAAGTGCAACCATCATTATCAAATTCATCTCCTACAGTAAAATCTAACACACTTAATAAGATCATAAGACAAATAATAAGCATCATAAGATTCGCACCCAAATTGTATGTGCAAAAATATACCTAAGGTTGCAATGGTATATTTGATTATGGGGTATGACAATAAATCTAAACCTGTAATGATTCACTAAATAAACTACATGTTGCACGGTTTTTCAAATATACCTAAGGTTGCAATGGGTCGTCAAATAAACTAAAGTTTAGAATCATTCAATTAGGTAGTTCGATATATGATAAGTAAAAGAGACTTATTCAGATAATTAGCTAGACATGCTCCAATGATTTTTTTGAAACCACAGTTTCTCGGATTTAAATACATATACAAAAGGGTCTATGTAGACACACGGAAAGAGTTGGTAGTTAAAAGAATACAAATTAATAACTAAATATTATTTTTGTTATTTAAATATATGTATTATCTTATACATCGAAAATTATAAAACTTGATGCTGTAAATTAAATTTATAGCAAACAATTAAACATTTACAAGACCTTAAAAACTGTATTTGTAATGGTTAGTTAATTGGATACTTTAAAGTTTCATGTGATAAATTGAAATCATTGCTTTTCTTTTAACAATTGTGATAATTTCTGGATTAGTATGTCGATACAATTAAAATGTCCAACACATATTAAAACGGTTCATTTGTCGTTTGCAACAACAATAGCAAAATTCTTAAACTAAAGAATTGAACTAGATTGTGTATCCGCGCGTTGCACGGGATTTTAATCTAAAACCTCTTCTATCAATAATAATCTTTGAGCATAATTATAATCATTCAAATTTTAGAAGATAAAAGCTATATAATTTAACACTAAACTAATTTTTTAAGTGATATACAACATATATATTGTTGGCGATAGTGTTTTACAAATATCAATTGGGTTCGGCTCATCAATTTATATATGGGCTTTTAAGGCCCAATAATCTCCTTCTCCTCCTCTCTTCTTTCTCTTTCTGAAAATTCGAAGTTGCAGCAATCTTTGCTTTCAATCGACGAAGGAGTTTTGAGTTGAGAGGAAGAGAGAGTTAGGAATCAATGGAGGAAGTATCGAAGAACGGTGGCACGGAGAGTCCGACTAAAGAACTGGCGGTGGTTGCAGTGCCGCCGTCGGAAGTGGAGGAGGAGGAGCCGTTGGTCGGACCTGGACCTGCTCCACGAGGAAAACGCAAGCGTCCGCTTCAGTTCGAGCAAGCTTATCTTGATTCGCTTCCTTCTGCTAATATGTAAGTATGTCTTGTGCTTTGGAACTTTCTCTGTTACTTATCAATCTAGCCCAGTCAAGTTTTGGGGGTTTAGGGTTTTAGTTTCGACGAATTGGTGCTTCTCCTCCGTAACCTAGTGTAATTAAGCTTTTGAATGAGCTCACATTTCGATGAAGATCTCG